ATGGTCAACCACAGCTGGCACATATTCGCCATTTCCAGCCAACTCACAGATCTCGAACCACACAAGCATATCCGTCTTTGAGCGAATTTGGTTTTGGCTGAAATGGATAAGACGTTAAGAACCTTTAAGATTTCTTTTTCATCCATACCCCTAGGATACGAATGAATGGTTATTTTAAATTGATGAGTGTAACCTAAGCTTAAGTAAAATAAAACGATGAAAAGATTAATGGAGAGACGTGTGTATCAAGCATATAGGACATTTTCTCTTGAATTACTTCATTTAGTTCCCTTTGTTGATAACTTCCTTGAACCTTCTCAGTTAGCTTGCCAAAACTTAACAGAAGTGAATTACAAACCTGCTTGGTACTGGTGCGTTAGCCCTTTTGCTCTTTACTGGAGTAGAAATAACTAGAGATGGTTGTTGGAAGGTGAGTTTTGTAGATAAGCGTCGCCTGAAAGTATGAAATTACTAACACATTGGTATGCTGAGTACTTATAAGTTTTGGGTCACTCTTCCAGCCTTTAAAGGAAGTCCAACCATAGATGTTCAGCTAAACAGAGCTTTAATTTACCTCTTTGAGCTTGTTTTGATTTTAAAATTCAAAGCATTTTTTTGGTATGAAGCTCTGCCTCAGAGAAAATGTTAATGTAACAACTAGATGTAGTTAAGTCTAAGCAGATAATTTTTGCTTACCCCAAAGCACTGTGCTGTCGCTCAAATTGGAAGCCTTCAGGCTTTTGTTGGAAGTGTCCAAATGCCTAAAACGAACATTTTAAAAGGAAGAAAGATTGTAGAAGAAAGTAGAGACATTGCTTTTTGGCAAGTTCATTTGCAACTTACCTCGAAAATGATAGGGAAATGGTGTAGATAGTGAAGGAACGTGCGGCTCATTTTTATATGCAAATTCTGCGAATGCGAAAAGGTGAGCGGAGTTCGGCCAGAGTTCTTTAGCGGTTCTGTTGAGAATGCCTCGTCGTGACGATGTAAGAAGCTGAAAGGAACACCTTGGGGTTGTAACGACTACTGAAAGTGTTTTTTCATCAAATAATTTCACAGTGCACACTATTGCTTAGATACTTGGTAAATGTATTATATGTGTGATGTTTGCCTTCATTGATTTAATTTTTACTCAATTACAAAACTTTAAAGGATACTTCACC